TTTTATTTGACCCTCAAGCGGTAAGTCAACCCATTTAAATCCGCAGCAGTTGGCGGCAGCCTCGAGTATGCCGCTTGGTTTTAACATCAGTGATCATCACCGAGATCTGTTCAAACCATCGTGCAATGTCTTCATCTTCATCTTCCATCGCCGCTTCTCCTTTTGGGTCGCGGAGGCAGACACGTCAGAGAGAGCTCCCAACGTTCCTGATCCTGTGCCAGAGTCTGAGCTTCGGCAAAAGACTAATGGAGTCTGGAACAGACTCCTTCCATATGTTTGCACCTCGTTAATCTTGGCCGTTCCCTGGGCGTTCTGCCGATCGAATTTGCAAGGAACAGTTACTTAGCCTTCCTTTCTGGCGGCATTCGCAACATATGCCTAAGCGATCGCAGCTGTGACTTCTCAATCTGGAGAAGCAAAGGTTGCATTCCAAGGCTCTTCGGGATGTCACTATTCCGGACCATGTCGAGACGCGTAAGGCCAGCGACTCGTCTAAGAAAGCTCTTTTCAGCAGTTTGTACCCGGGTTCGAAGTTTTTCGGCGATGGTCCACGATTCATGACCGTAGGTAAGTATGGGGGTAAACATGGACTTGAATATCGAGAACTTAATTTTCAGATTGAGCTCTGCTTTGGTCACATGAATCGGGCCAGTTCACTTAGAACGACACTGGCTACTTCAATTCGCCGGTCGATCTCTTCCTCCAATTTTCCATCACTAGTAAATACAGTTCCGAGGTACTTGAACTTCTCCACTTGCTCCACTTCCTCTCCGTTAATCTGAAGAGAGCAATGGGCAGAGGAACGAGATAGCACTAGGCTTTTCGTTTTAGATGCGTTCACACACATGCCGGTCACGTCGCACTCAGGTGCGAACCTTTCGTGCAATGTTGTTTTGCAAATTTCGCTCTCGTGTCCATGGAAGATAATGTGTCCCATTTGATTCTTTGGTTGCTTCTGCCACCAGATCTCGATATCATACTCCGTTTCTTACAGCGCAGTGGCCATCATGAAGGTGATGATCGGTTGATATCCCTGCGCCTCTTTTAGCATGAATATCCATT